GGCAGCACTCACCAGGGAAGCAACACAGGCGCTCACACAAAAGATATGTATCATAGTGCACCTTATTACTATGTAGCTAGAACAACAGCGAATCCTGGAGAAATATGGCTTTATGTAACCATGCAACCAATGTTAAGGAAGAAAGTTGAAAGTGAACATAGATAAGAGTAAGGTGATGAAGGTATGATTTAAAGAAAAATTGGGTATCACATTGGAGAGAGGGAGTAATGGAGAAGTGAATGTTTTCAGATATTTGGGAGTTGACGTGTCAGCGGATGGGTTTCTGAAGGATGAGGTTAACCATAGAATTGATGAAGGAAAAAAGGTGAGTGGTGCGCCGAGGTATATGTGGAAACAAAAAACGCTATCTATTGAGGCAAAGAAGGGAATGTATGAAAGTACAGTAGTACCAACACTCTTATATGGGTGTGAAGCTTGGGTTGTAAATGCTGCAGCGAGGAGGCGGTTGGAAGCAGTGGAGATGTGCTGTCTAAGGGCAATGCGTGGTGTAAATATTATGCAGAAAATTCGGAGTAGGAAATTAGGAGGAGGTGTGGAGTTAATAAAAGTATCAGTCAGAGGGCTGAAGAGGGGTTGTTGAGGTGGTTTGGTCATTTAGAGAGAATGGATCAAAGTAGAATGACATGGAGAGCGTATAAATCTGCAGGGGAAGGAAGGCGGGGTAGGGGTCGTCCTCGAAAAGGTTGGAGGGAGGGGGGTAAAGGAAGTTTTGTGGGCGAGGGGCTTGGACTTCCAGCAAGCGTGCGTGAGCGTGTTAGCAGTGAATGGAGACGAATGGTTTTTGGGACATGACAAGCTGTTGGAGTGTGAGCAGGGTAATATTTAGCGACGGGATTCAGGGAACCCGGTTATTTTTATATAGCCGGATTTGAGTGCTGGAAATGGGAAGTACAATGACTGCACTTTAAAGAAGGGGTCTAGGATATTGGCAGTTTGGAGGGATATGTTATATATCTTCATATATGCTTCTAAATTGTTGTATCTGGGTGCCTCTGCAAAAACAGTGATTATGTATGAGGTGAAAGTGTTGAATGAAGCTGAAAGTATTTTCTTTTTGGGGATTTTCTTTCTTTTTGGGTCACCCTGCCTCGGTGGGAGACGGATGACTTGAATATATAATATATATATATATATATATATATATTATATATATATATATATATATATATATATATATATATATAAATATAAATATATATATATATATATATATATATATATATATATATATATATAGATAGATAGATAGATAGATAGATATAGTGCAGATATCCCAAACCAAGCGATACAGGACGCAAAACAACCACGGGGGAGTAGTTTGATAGCTCTAGGCTTTTCCTGTTGCAATCAACACCATCAGGAGCTTGCAAAATTGCAGAAAAGTGGAGGATGTCCAAGTAAGTACGTTCCCAAAGGACATCTTCACGTGGAGTGAGTGAGGGAGGGAGGGAGAGGGAGAGAGAAGGATACCGGAAGTGCCCTCAGGCACACCAGCGCGCACAGCCAGGAGGATGAATATTAAGCATTAGAAAAATCCTACAAGCATTGATATTGCAATGTGACTTCTCACATTATCAAGAAACTATCATAGTTCCTTGATAATGTGAGAAGTCACGAAAGCGCTTGTTATTTCACTATTCTTTCACAGTGGCTGTTTTGCATATTCTGATATCACCTGTTTACTGTGATCTTATTGCATTTATACACACACACACACACACACACACACACACACACACACACACACACACATATATATATATATATATATATATATATATATATATATATATATATATATATATATATATATATATCAAAAGAAAAATGGATAGGTGCAAATTCCTCAAGCGAGTTAATTTTATATGGCAGCAACAAGCCTCTTCGGATTCTGATTTAGGTAGACAATAAGTAATTGGATGATAAATCGAGGCAGGTAAACAACGCTCCATTGATACATAATCTGTCAATGCTTGAAGGTCACGCCCAGTGTGGATGGGCACACTAGTACAAACATCCCGGCAGGATCGTACACTCTCTGTAAACACATGCAGCCAAAGATTCATACATTGTGATTCGTAAAACACATACAGGTAGAATTGCTAAGAGAGAGAGACGCTGCACTGAAATATACAAGTTATCCTCAGGAAGTATCGTACGTTATACCTCTAACACCGAACATATTCATGCCATTCTCATAGTTTATACACACAAACTTCAACATTAGAAGGCATATCTTAACCAATACATAACTGCTTTTCGGAAACGGTATCACACCTACATTTATTATAGAAACCGGTTCCGCATCTTCGAATACTAAAAAAACATGTATCATATGCCGAGCTTCATTAGGTTAAGGCCTCTTGACTATCTTTGATTTAAGGCCGCATTTTACCTATATAGTATCAAAAAACTTGAATCTTAAAAAAAAATTAATTCAAATACACTCTTACTGCATGTACACTGAGCGATTCACGCCTCTGTTTATATACTCTGTCATGTTCGCGGAACTCTTAAAACTGCTGTAATATATTTCCTTTCCCGGGGGGAGAGAGAATTTACAGCGTTGCAACAATATGCAGGAAAAAAACTGCAACTACAGCGTGAAGGTACATGCGTGCGGTGTCAAGTTTACATATATTGTTGTTATAGAGTTATTTCGAGCACAAGCTTTCACCAGTTATAAATGGTTATCGGCTGACAAGACAGCAAAATAATTTCTACTCATCCTCAACAAGGTAGACTATAAAACTATATATATCTGATGATCTTTTATCCGTTTCTTAACGGAGACTTTGCTTGCAACATGAACGGCATAAGTGCCATCCTGTACAAAGTACTGAATATTAATTTTCTTTTTCACTCAAGGAACAATCCGTTCCCTGTGAAAATATATAATATATATGTCGTGCCGAATATGTAAAGCTGGTCAATTAGCAAGAACTCATTTAAAATTAAGTCCTTTCTAAAATTTTCTCTTGTACGTTTCAAGATATTTTTTTTCATTAATATTAATATAAAAATTTTTAAATTTGCACCAAAAGAATCTCAGAAAACTTACCTAACCTTATTATAACAAGAGCAATTTATTTTAGCCTAACCCAACTAAATATATGTTAGATTTGTCTACAGTAATTTAATACTAAACGAACACAGTGAAATATATTTTTTTCGTTACGTTCAGAATGATTTTGGTGAAATTATTGCATACACAAATTTTCACTTGTCCTATATGGCAAGATGAACGTTGCTATTTAAGCCAAGATCGCAAATTCTGCCTATTTGGCACGACACACACACACACACACACACACACACACACACACACACACATATATATATATATATATATATATATATTATATATATATATATATATATATACATACACACACACACACACATATATATATATATATATATATATATATATATATATATATATATTACACACACACACACACACACACACACACACACACACACACACACACACACACACACTAAGCACACACACACTAAGCACAACAGCAGTCGCGCATTATTACAAAGAAACCTTAGTACTACAAATATAACAACAACAACGGCAGCAAACAGACACTTGACAGTATAAGCGAGTGATACTGATAGTGTTCATTAAACAAACTTCCCAATTAATAACGTAATTTGGCAGCCAACACTGTTCACTGGCCACCATCAAAGGCAATGCAAACCCTGGACAAATATGTTGATATTATGTAAATTGACAATTTGAGAAAAGGAGGATTTATATCGTCCTCATTACTGGGCTCTTATGCTTGTTTACAGACAAGGAAATGGAGTGGGTGGGTGGTAGTTAGGGGAACAAATGAACATGTTAAGCATCTCCTAACTTTCAACAAATAAGATTTATTTATTTCATTTACTTCCCTGCCATGTAGACGATGCGTGTGGGTTGGGACGCCAGACTGAGACTGTTGTTGCAGCATCCCTCACTTGTACAGCATGGTGTCCAGGGGGTCGCCACAACACAAACTCAAATTGTGATCCTCGTAAAACAAAACAGAAAAACTCTTTCATTTAAACCTCGCTGATGCCCTTCTCGCGTAACTGCGATATTGTTTTTATTATTTAGAAATAGAGACGAGTCTTTGTTTCAAACAAGACTTCAAAATTTAACAACACTGCATTTAGAGTGAAACTGAAATCCTCATCATCATCAGCATCAATTTGTACTTCACTACTTGACTACCACTCCACTACTTCACCTCCCCCACTAAACCTCACATTCCCTCCCATCCCCTTCCAAGACCACCATTACTCCAAGGCAAATCTTTGGCCACAACTTGTGAGCTCCGTTATTTCTTGTGTGTGCCTGGGTCTACAAGTGGTCTCTTTTCATAATTCCCAACGCTTGATGAGATAAGTGGGGGCCCAGCCAGCGAAGGGCCCACAACACGACTGGTGGCCTATTCCTTCAGACAGTGGGCCCCCACATCTAATACACTCTGGTAAAACGATCAATAATTACTGATATTCATTCAATACTAAGTGCCTTCCTTTTTAATACGTCATAAACGCTCACAAGATATTTTTCCACGAGACGTGTGGCTTAAACGTCATTGATAAGGCTGACTTTTTTTTAGATTTTACATCAGTAATGCCGCAAAGGAAGATCCAAAACCACATAAAACATACATTCGCAAACACAACCTCTTCTCTGTTGTACATAGAGCATAAGAGGCAGAACACCAGTGTGTGACCAACAGTCATATCATCTTGTTCATTTTCCTTAATATTGTGGTCAATATGCACCAGCAGACAGAAGGCAGTACCACGCCTTCATGCTGTATATTATAGATCACCGGAGCTCATAGGTAAAGCCATATATATATTGGAAAACAGACCTCTGACTTTTTATTTCCTTTCTAGACATTGCATCAAGGATTTCATAACAAGTAGATTTACATCCAGGATGGCATTGAAAGTAGAAAGACAACCTGTAGGCGTGTACACCTGGGTCCCCACGACCCAAGGATGGCCGGCAGGTGAGGGCGTATCCGAGGTGGTGTGGTGGGCCAACACGTGCGGGTGTGGGCGAGGGCGAGACACAGGCAAGGTACGCGTGACAGACTACACCACCGACTGGCTGGCTGCCGCGGCCCACACTGCTGCTTCAGTCTGCCCCAACCCTCACCCACAGCCACGCTCCTGCTGCTGCTGCTGCCCCGGCTCTCAGTGGCGGGGCGGCGGCGTATACCAACAGCCACTCACTTCAGTGGTGATCAGGTGTACCTTTGTCTCTGCTCTCCCTTGTAATCAGGAACCCCATATGTAAAAATGTTGTCTATCCTCCACCTCCACGGCCGGTGTTCCTCCGTTTCCCACCCTACCGAGCGTATCTAACTGCTCAGATTCGTTTGGTATATAACGGTCGCAAATATATACCAGAGAAGCTGATCTTTTCCCTTCTCTTCCAGAGCTGTTTTCCATTACAGACATGTATTTGATCCATATTCCTAAGATATGTTCATTCTACAGCCTCCCTTCTGGATATATGCTGTCTTCCTCCTGAACATACACACTATCCCTCCGGCTCTTCCTTCCACTACCACCCAACACAGATTCTCTCCTCGATCACTCCCTTCTATTTGCGTCTCTCGCCTTTCCAAAATAAAACCTCACAAACACCGTCCTCCAATACAGGGTAGGAACATCCTCTCATCCGTCCTTCGTCAGAACTCATGCACTTTCATGTTTGCTTTTTCACCTTCTATTGTCAATTACCACTAATACTGTACATAATTCACAGCCACAAAAACTTATAAAAATCGAGCACACTGAGCCCCCTCTATAAGATTAACCACAATCGCTAAAATTTACTACAAACGTAAAATTCTGTCCTCTGAGATTTTGTAATAAATTTCCATAATTTCGAAAAGAGATTTTACCTCATCTTGTTAATCTCTTTTACTGGCGAACTTCTCCACTTGGGTAAGCCTACTTATATACAAAAAAAGTGCAAAACACCGTGATTTGTCGTCTGTCATGAATAAACAGCAAAGATAGTGAGTGTAATGCTATCCTTGTCAACAACGAGGAGAGGCTGGAAAGTCAGAAACTGATGCTGCTTCTGATGGCGAATTATAAGCAAAAAATTACTAAAAGATGTGTATGGTAATTTACTCACTTGAAAACGAGATTTAAATCCCAAGGACCTACTATCCATGATAGCGAAGCAGACATGGTGCGGAATAAGTTTTTATTCCTACAACCTTCTGCCCTGTGTGGAATTTTATAAAGTCATGACAAGATAAAGCTCTACACAGCACGTAAAGTTGTTCTAATAAAAGCTTGTATTCATATGTATTTGTATTTTTATGTTTCTCAGTCAATCTACCTTAAATCCTTTCCAATCTAATGTAGTTTTCCGTCTCTCAATCTTCTCCCACAAAGGTGTGGTTCAGAGTGGGGTCAAGTGACGTCACAACCTTGCGAAACACGTCACCTAAAGATTAATCAATACAACAATTGTCAGTCTTATTTACCAGGTCTACTGTATGGAATAAGTATTTTGTATATATTAATTTTTATATGGGTAAACGAGTAGTCAGACTCTTTGCCTAACTATTCAGTTTTTTTGACCATCAGCGCCACATACCTTCCCGAGTGATAACTACTGGTGTTTACCTAAGAATCAGGTTAAGCCAGTAGTGCCACTCTACTCCTCACTCTCCTCCCGCTAAGTAGTCCTCGGCACTGCTTATCCTAGTAAGTTACCTGCATTGGCTTAGGTTTAATCTGGTTACTCATGTGTCTCTATGCCACAACCTGTGTCCTGTGCTCACCTCTGTTTTCTCAGCCCGTAGGACTAGCGTCTGGTCGCTCCAATTTACGGACTACGAGGAGCTGTCTTTATAAGAAGACTGTTTCTAGTCCAGTGCTCTATTCTGATCATAGGCTTTAGCTACGATGTGGATTTCCTGACTTGATATTTTTTATTTATTAAAATAAATTTACTTTTCCCCTTAGATTTTATCCTACTATGATTCATAATTCAATGACGCATCTAACATCCATCTTCACACAAACTCTCCTGACATACGGTCTTAATCCTTTTATTGATTATAGATGACGCAAGCGCATCTGCTCAATCACACAGATTATGCTTTTAAATACCTAGATCCTATTACCGTGTTGTGTGCAAGTTTTAAACTTCAAGCTCTTCAAGCCTTCCTCTTGACATTATATTGATTACCTTTGCCTGAATTTATACATTCGACTTAATATGTCGACACAAACTGCAACGCAGGTTCTTCCAGTGACTCCTCTTTAAAAGCAGCGAAGAATCTATGAAGGTATAGATCGTCAATTTCCCCGATTTCCTTTGCTACAGAAAACTAGTCTCCATATTCAAGCCGCTTCTGTTTTCTCTTAAGTATTAATCATATTGAATCGTATAATATTTTCTAATATAATAAAAAATACAGAAGCATTAAACTTTTATGGTCATTCAATTCAGGAAGTGCTGAAGACTTAATTCTCCGTCCATCAATCGCGAGAGACGCTACCGAAATCTACTCATCGATTTCGCTTAGTCAAAATCGTATATGACATTTCACGAAGATACTGCTATGCTATACATTATATCCTTTATTCCGCATACAAAAATGGGAGCTTAAATGTTATAATAGCGCATCTACTACAATAATGCATTACAAGGTGTCCAAATGACTGAGTTCTTCCTCTCCCCTGCACAGACCCGACAACACCAACACTTAAAATCAACTACGTCAATCACATCGATTTACGGAAGAGGTATGGTGGCTGTAGAGGCGATGTGGGATAATGAGGTGAGGGGAGGAAGAGGAGGAATGAGGGGACAAACAAAAAAGAGGAGAAAGGGCTCTGGTTGAGGGAGTAGAGCGTGTGTATGAGGGCGGAGGAACAACAGGGAGGAGGTGGATAACGCAAGACATGAAAAAGAAAGATAAGTAGATTGTAAGTTCCAGAAAATTGCTTGAGATTAGACTGCATTCTTGTGGCATCACAGGTGGAGATGTTCTTGTGGCATCACAGGTGGAGATGTTCTTGTGGCATCACAGGTAGAGATGTTCTTGTGGCATCACAGGTGGAGGTGTTCTTGTGGCATCACAGGTGGAGATGTTCTTGTGGCATCACAGGTGGAGATGTTCATGTGGCATCACAGGTGGAGATGTTCATGTGGCATCACAGGTGGAGATGTTCTTGTGGCATCACAGGTGGAGATGTTCTTGTGGCATCACAGGTGGAGATGTTCTTGTGGCATCAGAGGTGGAGATGTTCTTATGGCATCACAGGTGATGTTCTTGTGGCATCACAGGTAGAGATGTTCTTGTGGCATCACAGGTAGAGATGTTCTTGTGGCATCACAGGTGGAGGTGTTCTTGTGGCATCACAGGTGGAGATGTTCTTATGGCATCACAGGTATAGATGTTCTTATGGTATCACAGGTGGAGATGTTCTTGTGGCATCACAGGTGGAGATGTTCTTGTGGCATCACAGGTGGAGATGTTCTTGTGACATCACAGGTGGAGATGTTCTTGTGGCATCACAGGTGGAGATGTTCTTGGGGCCTCACAGGTGGAGAAATTCTTGTGGCATCACAGGTAATGTTCTTATGGCATCACAGGTGGAGATGTTCTTGTGGTATCACAGGTGGAGATGTTCTTGTGGCATCACAGGTGGAGATGTTCTTGTGGCATCACAGGTGGAGATGTTCTTGTGGCATCACAGGTGGAGATGTTCTTGTGGCATCACAGGTGGAGATGTTCTTGTGGCATCACAGGTGGAGATGTTCTTGTGGCATCACAGGTGGAGATGTTCTTGTGGCATCACAGGTGGAGATGTTCTTGTGGCATCACAGGTGGAGATGTTCTTGTGGCATCACAGGTGGAGATGTTCTTGTGGCATCACAGGTGGAGATGTTCTTGTGGCATCACAGGTGGAGATGTTCTTGTGGCATCACAGGTGGAGATGTTCTTGTGGCATCAAGGTGGAGATGTTCTGTTGGCATCACAGTGATGTTCTTGTGGCATCACAGGTGGAGATGTTCTTGTGGCATCACAGGTGGAGATGTTCTTGTGCATCAAGTGGATGTTCTTGTGGCATCACAGGTGGAGATGTTCTTGTGGCATCACAGGTGGAGATGTTCTTGTGGCATCACAGGTGAGATGTTCTTGTGGCATCACAGGTGGAGATGTTCTTGTGGCATCACAGGTGGAGATGTTCTTGTGGCATCACAGGTGGAGATGTTCTTGTGGCATCACAGGTGGAGATGTTCTTGTGGCATCACAGGTGGAGATGTTCTTGTGGCATCACAGGTGGAGATGTTCTTGTGGCATCACAGGTGGAGATGTTCTTGTGGCATCACAGGTGGAGATGTTCTTGTGGCATCACAGGTGGAGATGTTCTTGTGGCATCACAGGTGGAGATGTTCTTGTGGCATCACAGGTGGAGATGTTCTTGTGGCATCACAGGTGGAGATGTTCTTGTGGCATCACAGGTGGAGATGTTCTTGTGGCATCACAGGTGGAGATGTTCTTGTGGCATCACAGGTGGAGATGTTCTTGTGGCATCACAGGTGGAGATGTTCTTGTGGCATCACAGGTGGAGATGTTCTTGTGGCATCACAGGTGGAGATGTTCTTGTGGCATCACAGGTGGAGATGTTCTTGTGGCATCACAGGTGGAGATGTTCTTGTGGCATCACAGGTGGAGATGTTCTTGTGGCATCACAGGTGGAGATGTTCTTGTGGCATCACAGGTGGAGATGTTCTTGTGGCATCACAGGTGGAGATGTTCTTGTGGCATCACAGGTGGAGATGTTCTTGTGGCATCACAGGTGGAGATGTTCTTGTGGCATCACAGGTGGAGATGTTCTTGTGGCATCACAGGTGAGATGTTCTTGTGGCATCACAGGTGGAGATGTTCTTGTGGCATCACAGGTGGAGATGTTCTTGTGGCATCACAGGTTGAGATCTTCTTGTGGCATCACAGGTGGAGATGTTCTTGTGGCATCACAGGTTGAGATCTTCTTGTGGCATCACAGGTTGAGATCTTTTTGTGGCATCACAGGTGGAGATGTTCTTGTGGCATCACAGGTGGAGATGTTCTTGTGGCATCACAGGTGGAGATGTTCTTGTGGCATCACAGGTGGAGATGTTCTTGTGGCATCACAGGTGGAGAGTTCTTGTGGCATCACAGTGGG